TGGTCTTTCAATATCCCCATCTGAGTTTCTTTTGTGGGACTCACATATCTTTCCATCCTTGACACTTGGATTACAGCAAAGCAGGGAATGAGTCAGAATCTTAGTCTAGGAAATTAGCTAATCCCCTTGTCACAGAGCATGATGTGTGCCTACTTCTTCAATTACTTTGTCTGTCACTCTTCTTGACAAAACCGATATTGCTTTGGAAATATTTTGACATTAAAAAAATGAAACTTCAGAAAACAAATTTGTTTAAATGAAAATCATACCCAGACTCCTACTTCACAGTTGCCTATTTGGGGTCCCATTTTTAAAAATATCTTGAATCTCCACGTGCTTCTCCTGTTATTTTTCAGTGATGAGCTCTTCATAGTACAAAATGTACCATGAATAGTACTCTTCTACTATTGAAGGCCAGGAGATTACAATCCACTGTACTCTACCTTATAAGACTCCAACTGGAAGTTATAAGGCCAGATTAAAAACTGAGCTTTCCTCTTTTCAAATGGCACATTATCTATTAATGAGAAGTGGCACATTTCAAAGAAACTGCAGGATGAAAGAGAAGGGCTGGAACACTCCAGACAATGGCAGGAACAATATCATACAGATACTGGAGAGGGTGACACAGGGACATCCAGATAGGGTTACGCAGAGACAACACTGCACTAGCAAGACTGGCATGTGGCCAGAGATACCAAGCCTACTTATCCCACTATAGAGCAAGCACACTTTTCTCTTCAGTGCTCAGTGATCTGGTTGGATTTACCATCTTGGGCTTAATGCCAACGATGCCAGACATGAGCGTATCCGCTCTGCAGTCCTCGCACCGGGAAAGCAACAGAGGGATCTAAGGGGACTCTGCAAGTAGTCAGCTGGAATCCAGCATGGCTCCTTAAAGGCTTTGTTATTACCAGGGTTAAAAAGAAGAAGGTGGGAAAGACTGGGAGAGTGGGGGAATAGGAAGGAAGGAGGAACAGGACTGCCCTATTTAAAGCTGGTGAGCTCAGTTTCGGTATGCTGCCTAATTTTGTCCTCTGAGCCTGCAGAGAACCCTCTGCCAGATTGGAAATGGCTCTGCAAGCAGTGGAGCTGTGCATGTGTGATATTCCTCCTAAACCAGTAAGCCCAGCTGGCTCTTCTGTCCAGTAGAATAATGCCCCAAAACATCAGCAGGTAATTGAATGTTAACCACCCTGGTAATTTATAGTGCACAGTTGCTCTTATAACCATCTCGTAGAGAAGCATCAGGGTCAACTACCAATGGGATACTTTTAAAAACCTCAACAAACACCAAAATCTCAAGTGCTTTCCTATTAACCTGGGAAGCTACATTATGTTTTATTTGTGCTTCTGATGGGCACTATTTTCCACTTATTGGACTTCCTATGGCTGTAATATAGCACACAGACACACTGGTGTAATGTGTGTTGGTACTTGTACCTGGCCTCGATCACTAGCAGATCAGTGGGAGACTTCCCTCCAGGCTTCACAAGGGATCTGGCCCTCTCTTTTCCTTGTGCACAAACATTGGTACCTCCATCCCTCCAGTGCCAGGCCTTGGGGCTTAGCCTTCAAAAGTGTCCCTGAGGCTGCAGATGGCTGCACAGCCCACTCTGCAAGCATAACTGGAAAAATGCCCTTGTGCAAGCTTTGTCTCAGCTTTAACTGTTCTAGGTGGTAAAGCATTTTCCTGCCTCAAAACAACTCCACTCAGGTGGCCTGAACAACACAGGGATCTGGAGAAATTAAAATAATCTTCTCAAAGTACGACTGTCCTGTCCCTCTTCTCATATCGATCCTTAAACTGCACATTAAGCAGGAGAGTGTGCAAGCCAATGCAGAGAATCCCACAGAAGAGACACCACTGAAATCTACTTCATTCACTACTAAAATACTTATAACTTCTTAAAACAAATGCTAAATGGCAGACTAAGATGGAAGAACATATTTTTTTTTACTGTAACATGCTTAGCAAATTCCATTGGAAAAGTGTACACTGCGAATTCCAGTTATATATCACCACTATGGCTCTGTTGTGCTTACCACTAACTGTCAAAATACACTAATAATCTCCCTTTAATTCTGACATATTTTCCATCAAATCAAGTGGAAGCTTTTACATTCCTTTGATTCTGTCTGAAAAAAAACCCAAACAAAACCAAACCAAACCAAAACCTAACAAAAAATCCCCAGAAAAAAAAAAAAAAAAAAAAAAAAAAAAAAAAAAAAAAAAAAAAAAAAAAAAAAAAAAAAAAAAAAAAAAAAAAAAAAAAAAAAAAAAAAAAAAAAAAAAAAAACAACCACAGAGCTGTTATAGCTACTTAATAAGTAGCTACTGCGTACAAATTTATAACTATATTTTTATAGCTATACAGTAATAACTAGATACTTATATAGTACAGTTAACTACAAAGTTAAATAGCATAAGTTATGGCTTATTTTAGCATGAAAAAGAATATTAAAATTTTACTGGGTTGATTTAATATTTACCAATGAATTTGCTAGAATGATTTACATGCACTGCATGTCTGCTTTTTCAGCTGTGCTCAGAAATCAAGTGCAGGCTGAAAAACTTTGGCTGAATAACACAGAGGTTAACACTGATGGGACTGAACCAATCTGTGAATCTTCTGGCCCATCCTGAACAGGAAGCAAAGAGCCAAAGGTTTTTTTGCTAATCTCATAACTGTTTCAACACTGAGGTCCATTTTTTCATGCTATGCAAACACTGAAGAGATCTCCAGAGCACACACAGTTCAGCCTCTCCACTGGGGCAGAATCCATCCATGTGTGACAGATGTTGGTCTAATCAGTTCTCACAAACCTCCAGTGAAGCAGATTTAAAACACAGCCTGCTTGGTGCCTAGCCACTAGATATTTTTTTTTTCATATATAATTTAAATCTTCTTTTCTGCAAATTAGAGTCTTGTTTTACACACATCCCAGTGGGCATGTTAAACACATAGTTACTCACTGATTTCTTTAAAACAACCTTTAAGCAGTACCAATGTTTTTCCACTTCACAACATCCTGTGCTGATTTATACTAGCTGAGCAGCCAGCCTTCAGTTTTAAGAGACCTGTTCTGCCAGCACCAGGCACTTCAAGGGACTGATGACAGCAAATCAAGATTTATGTTTTCATGCTAAATTGTTTTGTGATTTTAATGTGCTTATTTTGATAGTGACAATGAGCCATTGTGAGCTTACAGCTCTGCTGGTGCCTTGTATAAACCAACTGGTTGAGGATGGATTGTGCCCTCCAACAACAGACAGCAAGATGGTTTTTGCACTCTCAGAAAAAGTACCAGATCATTCTTGCATCCTGTTCTCAGTTTTTTTCCCTCTAACACAGTTAAATTCACCTTAAAAACAAGGGAGGAAGAAAGAGAATTAGAATTTTTTTTTCACACAACAGGATTTTTAATTCCAGCCAACATGTCAGCTGAGAGTTTTTGCTTTCAGTAATGGTCTGCTCTGTTTCTTTCAGAGGCCTGACACATTTATTTCATGGTCAGTGGTCAATCTGTAGGAAATTCTTGCAACCATTCCTGATTTGGCATGGAAAGGGACTTCTCTAGTCTATGAGACAGTGAAAAAAAAACAAACCAAAACACACTCATATCAGCTTGGAAATCAATGGAAATCGATGCTCCTAGGAATTCTGTTCACAGAAAATACAACCCAGAATCAAGTCATACTGTCGTCTTAACGGCTTAAGATTTATCTTGAACTTGTTACCTGAAATAATTAAGGACTGGATGGCCTAGATAAATGAGTGAAATTGCGTGCCTCCACCACACTTCCTCGATGTTGGCATAATTTGGCCCATATGGGATGCAATGATGATGTCTCTGGACCTCACAGGGAGGGTAAAGATGAGAAAAACTATGGGGAAAGTGGGAATGCAAAGAAATATTTGAAAATAGGAGAAAATAGCATCAGAATGAGATCCTTTTAATATACTACGAATTTCAAAAGACAAAACAAAATGTGCTGGTCTCTTCTGGCATGGCCTGGCATGGTTTGTTCTGAAAAGAATAAGCTCACTGCCTTTCTAGGCACTGGTACATGGAACTGCTTTTGAGGCAATGACAACAAAGGTAGAAGCACAAGGAATTATTTGTAAGACAGGAGTTTTATAAACTTTAACAGGGAGCTTGCCATTGGTTGCAGCGTGAGAGATGATAGCATGAAGGTGGCTGACAAAGAAGCTGACAAGGGAAGAGTACAAAGAAGTAAGGTCTAAGAAGCTGGTCCCTGGGTTGGTGCTAACATAGGAGGGTTAAATGGGGAGGATTTTTCTTGGACTGCCTGGGCAGATCATTTGCCCAAGGAATCAAAGAGTGAGCAGAATAACCAATATATAACATAGGTTTACTTCCTAAGTAATCATGGCTAGGCTTCGCAAACGAAGATTTGAGAAGGGCTCTACCCACGCTTGCTACAAGCGCGCAGATGGTTAAAAAGGCCAATGCGAGATAGACAAGTCCGGTTGCAGAACGTACAGCAGAAAGACTCCCCAGGTGATATCGACGAGACGCGATTCTTTCTGCGTTGTCTTTTCTCCTCGAGAGTGATCCTGCGTGTGTTCACAAAAGCAGCAGCAGTGTTATAGATGGTGCGTCTCCAGGCCTCTCCAGGCCAGAGTAGACCAAGGGTGGTGATCAATATGGCCAAGGCTGAGGGATTGTTTCAGGCAGTCCTCGTATCTCCTCTTCGGGACTCCTCTCTAAGTATTGTAAGGAAAAAGGCAGGATTGTTTTGCTTAGGGATAAACCAGAACAACATGTAGAAAAGAGATTTGAAAGTAGACAACTGCTACTTTTCTTTCCTTTGCATCAGATATGCCAGCAGGAGACTGGAGACTGTCCCCAAAATCAGGGTGAAATTGCATGAACATTCACTGATTCTTGTGGACATATTGTTCTTCAGACTATAGACAGGGTTTCAACCAGCACTCAGGGTGTTGGTACAACACAGAAAAAGGACAAAGGACAAAGAAAGCTTTGAGGGAATTCATGGCCTGGGAGTAATGGAAGAACCAAATAATGAAGCAAAAGATAAGGCCAGCGTTGGAGGAGACTTAAACAAGAGGAAGATAAATGTGCTTAATAAATATCAGGTTGGTAAACAGGGATTTTGTTAAGTGTTGAGCTAGAGTGGAAGGCCACATTAGGAAGGAGCGGGGGGGGGGGGGAGCAGCGGGAATCTTAATTAATAAGATGGGATCTCTAGATGAAAATATAAGTCACTGAGAGGAAGGCGAGGAGGGGAGTCAGATGGCAAGGCAGAGGGTTGCTAAGTCTGGGTGGTATCAAGTGTGATGTTCATCACAGCAACATACAGTAGGAACAAAACTCAGAGGGAAAATATGAAACAAAATGACAAAAGGGGGGACAAGAGTGCAGGTACAGGGGGGAACCATCGCTTTTCTTCAGCTTCCCTCCTGAGTAGAAGAATTTATCACTGAAATTTATCCTTTGTGTTTCATGTTGTGGCTCAATTAGTGATATTTCTTCACAAACAACTTTGGTAAATACTCCCTAACACTACTCTGTGCTGTTTTTGCTGAGGTCCTTCACAATATGAAGTAGAGTGGCAAAAGCCAGCTAATTGCCGTGCAAGCAGGGTGGAGTCACCAAGCAGTGTTGTTATTGAGTAGCAACTCCCAGTGTGGAGTTGCTGAAAATTAGTCATGTTTTAGTAGCGTAACTATGCTACTTTTCCTGATGCTAAATGCTCTCTGACATGCCAAATTTACTGTGGACTATAAACAAAAGTTTGTGGCCAATTTCTGAACTGGCACAGAAAAGAAAAATTTAAAAATGCAAATTCATAAATTTTGTCATTAGAACTGTGTAAATTATATTCCTGATCCCATCAGGTGCTCCCTCTCACAGAGTCAGGCTCCCAGTTTCCATGTCTCCTGCCACAGAGTCCCATGACTCTCCCAGGCTCCAGTTCCCTGCGGTCAGCCAGGATTATCTCATGGTCCTGACTCATTCTCAGTTCTTCTGCCTCCACCAGCATAGTGGTGTCCATCAGCAAACAACCTTGCTAAGGCAGAGCCCGATTACTCAAAAAAAAGGCAAGGCAGAGATAAAGGCTCCACAACAAAAGAGCTATCTATAGTTTGACTCTCTGCCTCCCACTAAGGCTGACTGATGGCTGGTCCTCTGGACTCCAGAACCTCTCCCCACTTTGTCCTGTGTCCAATGGCAGCTCCAGACATCTGGCTGCTCTCTCTTGGGAACAAATTCTTGACTCTGATTCTTTGCTGATCTCTGGATTTGTAAGTATCTAAACCAGCAAAGAAGAACCTAGAGCTTTTCACTGAGCAGACTGTAGGATGCTCGAATGGAGCAGCTTTTCAGTGACTGCCAAGATACTGTTGTCTGCAAAGTCGCTGTACAGACTGACATGCTTTGGTCTTCTGATAGTCCCACCTAATTAGAGCAATGCTGGCCAGTCAGGAAGCAACTCCTACCCTTCTAGAAGTCAAACAAATTAGTTTAATTTCCAAGGGTACATTTAAATTGCAAAGAACATAATGCAGAGATCCCCAAGCTAGCACTGAGCTGATTTGGCAAGTCACACAGCACAGCAAAGTACTGTGTGGATATGTCAAGTGGGACTGCAAGGCAGAATAATCATGTTCAGCTGGCACAGCACTCTGGGCTACACTCTGTCTGGTTCAGTGCAGGCCTGCGTGGAACCTCTGCACTATGTTTCCCTGCATTTCAAGCTGAGGGAGTAAAGAGTACTGCAGGAGCTTAGATGTCTTTGTGCACAACCTAAATTGCTGATCAGATTCTTATGGCAACTCCACTCGATCCCAACCTCTGTCTTTTATTCACCGAGAAAAACTCATGCAGTTATGATCTATTTTACCTTCATTTTGTTACACTTCTCATGTGAGACACTTGCAATCTCTTAACCTCTGCTTTCATGCATTGATTTTTTTAAGCCTAACCTTGAGAAAGTCATATAATACTAGCCCTCAGACATCTGCAAGGATCCTGACCCCTTCCTTGCCTCCAGTGTATCCCAAAGCCTTTTTAAGAAACAGTTACCAAAAAAATAAATATTTTACTCTGATAAAATTATAATCTGATATTAGATATGAATAATTAACAGTTTTAGCATCAACCTAGATTAGTCACCCCAAAATTCAAGAAACCATTCCTTCTAGCAGGTCTTAGCAGAGCAAGTAACAGGAAATATGAGAAAATTCTCCATCTTGCAAAGTTTTTGTAGCACTGACTGTTCTTGAAAAGCAGCCAGCAATCCATCCCATCCACTTGTAAATGTTCTGCAGCTATTCTCTTAATAACTCGAGGATGATGGATGAGTGTAAGGCTGGGCAGCTTTGTTTGATAGCCTAGGGGAGAGAGAGGGAGGGAGAGAAACAAGTATCAGCAAATGGATTGTGCAACAGACAAATAAAAATAATTACACAATACACTATATTTTAAATAACCCTTCTGGAATGTTGTCATTTTCACCAATTGATGTTACTTAGAAAATTCACCAGCTAATGCTACCAATAATTTCATTTAAAGAGAGATAAATGAGTCCAAATCATTGCCCCTGATAGTGCTTAGAAGAGTGTCAACAATGCAGAGCACTATTTACAATACATTGCATTTTCTAAAAAGAGTCCCTTCATTTCAGACTCCTATTGCCTTCAGAGCTTGAGCAGCAACTCAGGAGAATGGGCTCAAACATGAGGTGGAGAGGAGTCTTGAGACCTTTCCACAACTCAGAGTCATTTTGGAGTTACTTTTGTTAATTGTTTAATTCTGTGATTTTTCAAACCCCTAAGAGACACAGAGCAAAAAGTTTTGTGCCCCAAATTTTCACAACAGGTAAGTGAGAAACACAGAGAGTACTGTCAATAGACTTAAATTTGATAGAAATGGGGACTGCCCCTCTGCTTGGTAAATACTGATATTGTCAAGATTGTGAAAGTTCATTCAAATCTGTTATGAATTCTTCTAGTAAACATTAATGAATTACCTTCTGCTTGAAGACAAAGATGTGACAGAATTTCCTTCAACTCTTGTAACTTCTAATCTGTCCTTCTTTCCATTCCCTCTCCTTGAACTGAAGCATCTTCCTCATTCTATGATCACCAGAGCAAAACATGCAAATAACGAAACAACTCCAGTATAGATTTTTTTTTTTTAATAGAAGCATGCATTTTGTAATGAGGAATGTGTGAAAATATAGGAACCATAATGATTTCAGGTCTGTTACATCTATGCAAACCAGCAGAAGTTACGGACAAAGAATATGGTCATGTATAATACAGCACAGACCACTGGTTTCATCAAGCAAACCTCCAATGGGAAGGTCAGCACCTATAAGTCCTTTTGATGTTTGGGCTGGGCTCAGTGTTTCTCATAATTAATACTCTTTTTTCAAACCCATCAAACATTGTATTCATGTCTTCATGAAGAAGCAGCCCAATAGCATATGCAAAGGGTACTAGAGCATACACTTGTTAAAATCATCACCAAAATGCCTATTGACCTCAGCTCTGACATCAGGAGTCTCTGTGCGTATGAGAACAGATGTCTGAAGTTCACTTGCAGTAAAAAAAGAAGTTTCTGATAAATGGAGGAAAATATTTTTGAAGAGTTTGTAGCCCCTCTGCAGCACAGTACGAACGCACTACTGGCTAAAGTCAGTCTTTAATCTGGTAACAGCTCTGAACTCCTGACTGACAATATTCACAGTTTCTGCAGGGAGCATTTGACAGACTCTCTCCCTATGGGAAAACTCCACCTGACACCTTCCATGACTGGGGTTTGGGGAGGTGATCTTCTTCACCCCACGTCATGATACCAAAGTCCGGATATTACAGAAGATTGTAGAAGAACACAGGTGGCTATGAATTAACCTGACCTGTCCCCTACTCTCTGCCCTGGTCATTCATGGCATTTCAAGCATAGTTAAGCCTTTTTATCTTTGAGGCCCTTCATGGCCACTACAAAAGACCACAAAAAGTTGCAAAGTAAAGACTATGATCAGCCTCAGTGCTCTCAGACACAGTCCTCTGAGATACAGAAATCACTGTGGTAAGGAAAAAATATTTTGGCCTGCCGTTAGAACTTTTTTAGAGCTCTGAATCTGTGGAATGAACTTTCCCATAAGCCAAAGACCACCACAAACCACAGAAGTTCATTCCAACTTCATTTGACCTTGTATTTCTAACAATAATAAAAAGAAATGCGCTGGCTGGTATCCCACCAAAAGAGACTGCTATGGAAGGCCCACCCCCAGCAGGGTGGCTGTTGGGCACATCACAGCATGTACACCCACCACTGCTGCAAAGCACACTGTGGAGGCCGAGTGGAAGATCAGGGTGAATGTGCGAACAGAGGCCAATGAGTATATGCAAATATCCTTTAACTCTACAAACCTTTGAAAGAGAAAAGTGCTGCCCCTTCTAGAGACTTCCAGCTAGAGCGTCACTTCTGTTGTTCACCTTCAGCTATCCATGAGAAAAATCAGTGTTGTCTGAGGAAGGACTGAAAAAGATATCTTCACATTCGTCCTGCGTGAAGCACAGTTTTTATAACACTGACAGATCAAAACAATTTATATTAGAGTACATTGATCATACCAAAATGACAACTGGTTTTACTCTTGTTTTTCCCATCTGTGAAGCTCAGGAGTAGAGGGCAAGACTCACAGATACTTTTTAAGGTATGGAAGCTGAAAGGATTAGACAAAATGTTGTCAGACAACTTAAGTGGCCCAATACACATCCAGCTGCCTTCTGCTAAATACCCAATTAAAGGCTCTATGAATTTGAGTCTAGAAGGCAGGGGTTCCTCAGTCCAATACCATGTTTAATTCTTCCCTCATTACCATAATATTGAATATTATAGCAACAAGTAATCCAGTAATTACAGCTTTCCTTTTCAGATCTACTGGAATTCATTGATGCAGTTGACAGCAAAACAATCCTGAGATTTTTCAGAAGCAAATCAACTTGGCTTTATGTCTTCACTTGTAAATGCATTTACTCATATAAACAAGTTAATGCTAATTTCTGAAAAACATCATGTGAATCGTATTTCGTAAGATACTTAAAGAGCTTTGACTACCTCAGCGTTAAACACAGACAATCCTACTTGGGCAATAATAATGTCACCTCTTTCTTTCTAAGGAAGCCTGTTTGACTTGACAAAACATGTATTGTCAAATGCATGACAGGCATAGATGACTTGGGAGATAACACAGTATAAGCAGTCATAAGGTCTCAAACTCTGGTAACTACCAGAAATTCCCATACAACTTTTATTTTTATGCTATATTTCTTGTGAATTTGTTCTTTCAGTATATGAATAGTTAATAGAAGTAGTTTAATGACAAAATCATAAGAATAACCTCAAACTTGTGAACTCTCAAGGTGTTTGCTTGTACATCATATCCCTCCAACCAGTTTTCTTTGACAACTGTAGCTAGTCTAACACAGTTGTTGTGCATATGAGAATATAGTGACTATTGTTGATCTTGTTGGAGACTTTTAACTTTATCAAACACAAGTACTAACAATAATAATAATTAGTATCTATCTGTCAGATTTCTTCAGTGAAGAACTAAAATCAAAGTTATAACTCTTGTGGGAGTCTGCCAAAACTGAGGGAAAAGCTAGAAATACACTCTTCTGTAATCAGGTCAACTTACCTCATAGCACTTGTAAAGGCATGAATCACATTATGTTCCCTTGGCATTTTTGTGATTGCCAACTTTTTATATGCAAACGTTGTAAAGAGCTTTGAAAACAATTAGGATGAATTCATAGCTCCCAGTAAGTCTGGATATACCCCACGGGGCTGGTCTGGCAAACCTCTCCATGACAGTCCTGAGAGGTCACCTGGCTGTGTCCTGAGGCTGCGTTAGGGCAAGCCCTGTGGATCACCATCTCCCTCAGTTCCTGGTTTACTGAAGGAAACCCACAAAACAGTCAGAAAGTGAGATGCAGCAAGTCACTGGGGAGCTTCACCACACACAAATGTTCAAGGGCAGCTGCACAGAGCATCAGAGTGTATCACAGAGTCCGTCCTGATCTGTTACCACATGGTATCAGGCCTTGCTTCTGCTTAAGGCCACCCATGTGCTTTTATGGGCCTATATTTCACCAACACTGAGACAAACATGCATGAATTATTCAAAGGTATCTGTAAAATTGGGTTTGAAAGCTGTAAAATAATGATTTGGTGACAGGCTGGTCGTATCTCCCATGGTTTTATTACCTCAAATGAAGCTGAAGAATCAGAAAATGTTTAGCTTTAGTTTTTCATTGAACCAACAACGAAGAAATCCAGTCTTTTTGATGATTCATCTGTGAGCAGCCAGGTCTGCAGGAAGCACTTCTGCCATGTCCCTGGGCTACAAAAGGGCAGACACCAGCCAAGAGGGGCAACACTTGGGCATTGCCCCTGATACAGTCAACAGAGCTGCCATCTGGCATTGGCACTTGGATTGCTTGGGTGCATTTCTCATTTGAGGCCCAATTCTGACACCATCGAGTTAACAAGAGTTTGTGGTGGGGCATGTTCAGACTTCCATCGCATTGGAAATAATGCTAATGGTATTATACATTTTGTCTGCATTAAGGTCTGGTGCTTAGAAAATAAACATCTTGGCTTTGCCTCAATGTTTATCTCAATAAATACCTCAGCTTTGTCTCAACAATTATCTCTCCACAGCAGACCATTATCCAGTAGCAACCTATAATTCCATTAACAGTACTGTTTAAAATATATCCTCTTTGTTCTGCAGAGAAAGGAGCTCTGTGTGGGAAATTTCAGGGGCCTGGTGTATTTTTGGAATTAAAACAGAAATTAGGTCTCTTGGGCTATTTCTTATCCACTTAGTTTTTGTTTTTCTATTTCTTGTTTTGCACAATACAAGCTCTCTCTGGCTTGTGGGGAGATTGCAATTGGAGAAATCTGGAAGGCTCCCAGAGAAAGCATGTTTTAGGGCAGTCCTGTGCCACGGGCTACTACAGGTGACAATAACTGATAAAGGTCCAACATATTACCTGAATCTGCTTCAAACTGATGACAGGGCTTTAGAAACAGGTAGGCGTTGTACTTCTTTGTATCTTCTAAGGAAAAGGTGTGAGAAGCTCCTGTGGGCAATTGTTAAACATTAACATCGTGTCGACATTTAAATCTTACTACGTACAAGTCAGTAAGACACCTAGAAGTTAGCAGAGTATTTAAAGAAAAAATTATCTCAGTAATTGCGGAGCTGGTGTAGGAGTGCTGTGGGAGTAGACACAGCCATGACTACAGTGCTCTGTGCAAATAGCCCAGGCAGCAGCATCTGGGAGGTAACAGCTCTCTATTATGCATCAGCCTTTTTGTCTGCATTCTGTACTGAGCCAAATACACAGTTAGCACTTAGCAAATATGCAGTAGGCCAAATTAAATGGGAGAGGATCTCTTCTCATATGCATCAATACAAGTCCAGAAAAACTCTATTAAGGTTGCAGAAGTAAATGAGATCAGAATCTGGCTTATTGTGTTCATAACCAGTTAAATTCTGGAAAAGAAAAATCTGAAATAGTAGGACCTCTCTGAGGGAAAAGGTTGATTGAAGGAAGGGATTGAAAGAGGCTGAAGAGGAATGGATAGGGGTAAAACTGAAGAAGTAGAACCCTAGTGTGGATGGAAACAATACACGAGGGCTACAAAATCACTATGGCTGGATCCAGTAAAGGATACAGGTGTATAGAGGGGGGAAAAAAGAAGGAGGGATGCTCAAACTATTTGAGGCACTTGCAGCCAAGCCTGATATTTCCCAAACTCATGTGGCACCTCACTATTAAACCTCAGCATTCCTGGGCTTCTGTGCAGCCCACACTCACCACCATCTAACACATACTGAGCTATTAGTACCTACTTCATGCTCACAGCTGAGTGGAATCCCCAGATTAGGAAACCCAGCACCAAGGTCTCACAAAGGGCTCAGTCTAGTCGATGCACTCTGAATACACCTCAGCATTGAATTTCATGCAGAACATCACAGACAGGTTCCTGTGAATTGCGGGGAAGTCCAATATCCTAAAATAACCAGCAGTTCTCTTTTATCAGCTTTGGGGCCTAATACCGGTGGCATAACCCACAGGTGCAGAGAGCATCCCCTAAAGCAAAGAGCTATCTCCACCCTCATCCGTCATTGGGCACCAAACAAGGCCCCTGCACTGCTGCAGCGTGGGTCTGGGGAGATGGGGGTGGAGGTTGCTCTGCAGTTTATGTTATAGCAGGATGAGAAGGTTTCTTGCAGTTATTTAGAAAGGTTCCCTACAGGAACAGCTCTAGGGATACTCCTCATCTCTTCCAGGAACAAGAAGACATGACATTGTCCCCTGGGCTGACATTAACTTACAGGCCACTGGTGTAGGTAGGCACACCAGGTGGGATAGAAGGGTCCTTGTTTCTATTCCTATTTTGTATTTTATCTGATGTGAAGTACTTGCATAGCTCAGTGAGCAGGGACAGACCCAAAGTCACATGAAATGATGGAGCAGTCAGTAATGCAGAAATCACATCCCTGAGTAGGAGCAATGTGACAAACTGCACCCAAGGAACAAATTTTTGATATGAGCTTCAGTAGAGCCAAAAGCAAAGTCATTCATTAGAAGATAAATCTTTCAAGTTAGTGGAGTCCTCAGAAGCAGTGAGTATGCAGGGAGGCCAGGGCAGATAACCCAACAGGAGAAAATGTTTGCTTCAATAAAGGGCTAGAGGAGTCTTGTGAATCTGGGAACTCTAAATGCTATGGACAAAGTCTGTAACTGGTCTCAGTTTAAAAGTGTCCTGGCCTCACCTGTACAAGAGTAGAGGTTTCAGAAGAGAGTTCACAGAATAACTGAGGACTTACAGCAAGAGTTTCTAAAAGCTGGAGCTCTTCAGTAGAGCAAAGGGAAAGGCTCATACAGGCGTAATTTATAAATACCTGTATTTGAAGCAAAGTTTTGGAAGTGGGCTCTCACACACATCTGTCTAGACAATCTGCCTTAGAAATAAGGCATGTGGTTTCAGCAGAGAGAAATTACCTGCTTGAACAATTTATATGGAGCCGAGGGTAGATTCTTCATCACTGGGCATAATTTAATTAAAATTGGCTAGTTTACTCAAAGAAAATCAATAATTCAAACAGGAACAACTGCAAGGAAGCCTTTTGATCCATGTTATGCAGAAGGACATGCGAGGTGATTTGTTCTGGATATCAGTCAGTGAAAAGTGGGTCATCCTGCACTCTCTTCCCCCTTCACTCTCCATCCCTCAGCAGCAGGTCTGTGAGCAGTGGCAGCAAAGTGAAGCATCTCCAGCACTGCCTTCCTACCAGGAGGAAGGAATCCAGGAGGAATCCAGGACCAGCAGGGGTGGGAGACAGAGATAGGCAAGAAGACTTCATTGCAAGAACTGAGCTCGTAAATTCAGGAATTAATATAGTGTTTTCCTTGGGTTGCATAACTAATTGTTGAGCAAGAGAAGAGTGCAGATGTGGGTTGGTAGGATCTAGAATAAATTAATTAGAAATTAAGACTGAGGGCCAGCTGGAAATTTCCTACTCTCAGGAGACCAGAGAGAGTTCTTACAGAAGAGGGTATCACTCTCTGTCTGTCTAAAAGAACTGGCAACACACTGTCTGCCTTTCTCTCTTATGCATGCAAGAAAAAAAAAAAAAAAAAAAAGAAACATAGCCTTTTTTATTAAATACCTCATGATGTTAAGGCCATTCCCGTGATTGGGAGAGTGCAGAGTTTTCTTCACTTCTGGGGTTTAGAGTCCTGTGTAAGATCCAAACCCTGCGTGGCAGGCAGTGGTCCCCTCTGACTAGCCTTCTGAGTGTGTTGTCTCATGCCTTTGTGAATGCATCCACCCTGGATGATGCAGTGACCTCTCTTGGCAAGCTATATGTGTGTGTGTCAAATTGCAAGCATGTCTTTCTTCTCAAGCTACTGTTTGCCTGATGTATGCCAGGAGGAGCAAAAGCAAAATGAGCTCAAAAGCAGTGCTAATTGCCTGGAATTTGGTCAGAATATTACCTATTCCTTACAAATAAAAAAAAATCCTCTGCCTATTTTCATAGTGTTAACACAGCACTAGCATAACAATTCAGCCAACAAAATTTGTCTAAGAGCCAGTCCAGATTAAACATAAAATATTTTATCCCTGAGTACTCAAACATCCTGTTTCTTTAAAGAATAAAACACAAATTAGAGTCATCTTCAGTGCATTAGCCTCCCTTGACGACGATATTACAAATCCCAGCACAAAATTAAGATACAAGCCTACAATGCTTACACAAGTTGTGAAAGTTCATGCCTGCATTTGCTCACTTCTCTGACGTCTCTGTTGTTCATCCTGGGCAGCACATGCATTTCAGCCATTTGAATTTGCACTCCAGGCTTTATCGAAGTATTCCTCTCACCGTCCCCACCCTGACCCAGAGGAAGACCTAGAGAAAGACTCAGAGAGGTGGGGACTGTCTTTTGAACACTCCACAAGTCACCAGTAGTGATGCAACATGCCACTCCACCTTTATGTGGCTGAACAGGCAGATAAGGAACATAGCCCATCTGCATAAAGAAAAGATTTCCAATGGGAAGGACAAGGATGCATTGGAACAGGTTGCCTGCAGCACTGGTGGAGTCTCCATCGAGTCTCTAAGAACTAGTTAGACTGGCATCTGTCAGGAGTGATACAGGCACAGTTCCTTTTGCCTTCCAACACTTTTTCTCAATCTGTGGCGAAATTCTGCACCTGGTAAACTGTCATGAATATCTGCCTGTTCTCTGCAACCTGGAAAACTGAGGAGGCACACTTTGGCAACTGGCATGGAGGAAGGAGATTACAAGTCACGTTAATCACCTTAGAAGAACATTTATCTACTGTTGTCCAGCTTCAAGAGTCATTGGTATTGACTGAATATGAATCTTTAACTCTCAAAATGAGCAACAGTTTCCAGAGTTTTACGACTCACATTATTTTTAGCCGATTACACAGTCCTCATGATTGATCTGCCTGGAGTGGCTCTGCTGCAAGCCTCGAGGAGGGAAGGGTTTCATGGAGACACACATTTCCATGGGTGATAAGCTTGCGTCTGTTTTGAACTGTAAAATGGTAGATCGTTGTGAAATCCTCTCGGAGCATACCTTTTAAATGCCAAACAAGCCCAGCATCAGCAGCACATAAAGAAATATTTGAAAGGCTCTGGAGGGAAGCCAAGAGGACGTGGCTAATGTTTCACCTAACCTCACCCCCTCGCTGGCTGGCTCTGCCCCAGCAGCCCTGCCTGTGTGACGTGAGCCCCCGAGCCCCGGCAGGCAGCTGCTCCTTGACTGCCTGCGCTGTCTGCCCGGCTGGCAGCAGGACAAGGGAAACAAAGAGGCTAAAAACATAAAGTAGTGAGAGATTAGGAGCGGCGTGGCTGGGAGGGCAGCACGCCCTCCCTTAGGGCAGGGATGGAGTTGGAGTCTGGGCCTCTCCGGGTGGGCACCCACCCACAGAGCCACCGGGCTGGGCTTCACCTCTCCCTCCAGGAGGGGTCCAACACTGAGGAGACGCAAAATGAGAGTCTGTCACAACAGGCTGGCATTAATGGGGGAGCAGTGTGGAAAAAACTTGTCAGCCTGTGCCTCTCCTTTGGAAAAATCCACTTTGACTCCCCAGCCTCCAGTCCTTTGTCCTTTACACACACAGTTATTTGCCTCCTCTTTCACGCCCCTAAATACCTTTCCTTTAGCACAGAACAGCTTATTTTTCAATAATCTGTATTAAAAGTAATTATCCAGAAGTCTGCCCCAGTAGTCCTGCTCTGAAACTCCTGCTTTGAGTTTTTTCCTGTTATGTTCTTACTTCATAAAGTTAGTACCCACCCAGATACAAATATCTACAGAATGCCTGCTTATAGTTTTGTTGCTATCACTTGCTGGCAGGTCAAGTTGAAAATGGAGCTGACAAGCAGGATATGCCAAGAGAAATGTTCTGTATGCAGGAATTTGGACTTAGTGGACATGGACAGTGTTAATTATTGATTGATCTTATTTGCCTCTGTTCAAGTGAGGTTTTTAGAATTGACCTTTTACCTGCCTTAAAATATAAACAATGGTTAATAGGGTAGTAGAGCCACAGAGTTTTTCAGGGGATTTAGAAAAAGCCCTCTTCATGCTAGCATCAGCCCAAATGACGAAAGTATTCCAGATCTTAAATGAAAAGAAGCAAGCCATAATTTTTTACTAGGTCCTGACCAAAAACTTGGAGTTTAAGCCATAAGCAGGAGCATAGCAGCAAATCAGTTGCTGAAAGGCAGCAAAACAGAAGTACAGATCAGAGACTGGTAGGGGACTCAAAGCAAATGTGATTATTCTTGCAAACAATGAATGAACTGACAGAAAGGAAAATATCTAAAAATGGGTGCACAGTTTGGCCAAAATCACATACAGAATTTACATCACCTTAGTTTTTGAAGTTTTGTAATTTTTTATTTGTTTACTAGATTTCTTTTTGATCTGGCTATTTTTCATTTTGAGGCAAAAGTGATGAAACACTACAAGTAAGGAAGTTCTTGTGGTTTTTCAGGGACATCCAGAAGCAGAGTAATGGAAAACCAACAATAGGCAGGAAAGACTGCAAAGCATGTGAAAGCTTTCCTGCACAAACTCTGCTGAGTTCTGCAGATTGATGGTATATCATGACATACAGACTCCTTCCTGGGATTGTGCAGCTGCATACAGACCTCATGTAGGCACAGGGAGATGTGATAAACTGCTAGAGAGTACCAAAGCTGGATTGCCTTTGGAGGCATAGTGATCCCCCTCACTGTGCTCCTTCTGAGGTCTTCAGTCTTTGTGCACCATCAGCCATAGGACTCACCTTGTGTTCAGCCAGAAGAACTGGAAAACATGTTTCCTTGTTCTCTTCCCTGCTTGAGCACCCATATCATGTCAGAAACTTCCTGGACTGAACATAGGTCAGAGGTTGCATTAGTATTGTGCAAGTTTGAGCCAATCTCCCAAACGCTGTGGAATTACTGGGTTTTTTTAAATGCCTCTTCTCAATAAAAAATTCTAGTGCCAGAGAAAGTTCATTGCTCTAGGTGGTGTTTTACTTAAGCTGTTTCTCTCTGTGTAGTCACAGACACTTCTTTAGCAAAAATATGCATATGAAAGTCTATCAGCCTGTCTAGTGATGATATGTTAAGTTTGTTCTGCAGGCTTTTGCACACAGTCTAAACTCTTCTCATCCAACAGCTCTGCACAGTCAAAAAGAAAACAGAATGAGCTCTAACCCTTGGACTGGCTCTGCCAATCAGGCCTGCTCAATACAGTAGTCATCAGCATCAGAAAAGGAGGAAAAATATTCAGGAACTCACACCTGTCCCATCTGCCAGCAGATACAGCACATGCAGGACATCAGGAAAAGACAGTACGCAGAGACTGGCTTATACCCCAAGATTACAGTTCCACATTTTTTTTCCCCATGTGATTTGTGGATTTGCTTTAAGTAATGAATAAAAATTACTTTCCCCCTGCTCCCACCCACACACCCAAGGTGCAGCTGAACCCTCTATTTCATTGAGCATGCATACTCTTGCCTTTGATGCACATACATCTGCCACTGCTCAGGGATGGAAGTGCTTTGTGACATATAATGCATAAGCAGAGATGCAGGAAAAGCTCCTGCCTCCACTTCACAAGAACACTGATTTGGCCAAGGTCCTAAATCTCAGACAGGACTCAAACTATAAAGCAATGGCTAAAAGTTTAACCATCTTCTTCTTCTATCATTAATATTCATTAAGTAGCTACTGACCAGATCTTCATCTGGCTAATGTCACCTTACCTTTAAAGCTTTGAGGAGATGTTAAGCATTTGCTATATCTCTGGGCATAACCCTGGCCCTCAAATGTCAAATGGATCAGCTTCTGGAGTTGTGCAGAGTCTTTAATGACCCTCCATCCTTGCTTGTTTCCTTACAAGCAGCAGTGGACATAGGTGTCCACCACAGGAAGGATGTGCATGGGATGAGTGCTGGTTAGGGTGGAGGCAGGGGCCAGAGGGATGACCCAGAGGGCTCAGCAGATCCCATGGGGACACCTGGGGACTCCCTTGTCCCCCCACCTACACAGCACTACTAAGTACAGGACATGCTTCTGGATCACACTGAAACTCCCCAGAACGCCCTTTCCACTGACATATGCAAGAAAGCCTCTCATACAAATAAAACAATAGCGCAGGATAAATCCTACTTTCCTTTTTACTCAAATAAATCCAAGACAACACTATTGGTTTCAGGAGGGGAGCTTACATTTCTGCATCTTTCCACTTCCAGAAGAAAATTCTCTACCTAAGTAGGGAACAGGGAATACCAGATGTGGCTGGAGCTGTGTGATTAATCAGTAGCTGATGTGCAATGCCATGAGAGGAAAATCTGTGGAGGGGCTGAAAAGTTAACAACCATATGGGAAGGGGGAAATAAAATATTATATTTTATTTCATTCCATTAATAGTTTGAAAAATAAGTGTAACTAAATGCAACCTCGATGACTTCCTTTAAAAAGGCCCAAAATATTAATATTGAAAAGAGTTCTTTTAACAGTTTTAAAAATAATTCATAAGTCTGTTCACTGAATTCAGTACAACTTTCTCAATATTTTCAGTCAAGACTGCATTTTGGTTTTACTACATAAGTCTGAAAAACCCCACATTAATCTGGGAAAAAAGTCCAATTTTGTTTTAGACTTAAAAAGCAGGAATGTCTTGCTTCTGTGGATAGCCTCACATTTTATACTCCTTTATTGTTCTTACATCAAAGGACTAAGAGATTTAAAT